TAAAGTAGATAATTCATTAAACTAACGCAGTTTAGTTTAACATGGGTGTCAATCGTCACTTTTCTAATTTTCACAACTCTTTCACTAGCCTCGTCTCAGCCCACTTTGAACTGTCAAAGTACCTGAATGACAGACAACGTTTTAAACGATGTTTTCAAGATAAATGCACGTAACCACACGAATTCTATTTTATTTGCTATTTTAGCAAAAAAACATACAAACATATAGTGAAACTTTGTTTAGAAAAATATACATGTGTGTTAGACAGGAATGGTTTTTGGAAATTCGTTTTATTTTGGCTCGTATATTTACGCATATGTGTACCACGCAATTTAACTAAAATCTTACCAGGGTTTGCATGACGTTAATATATACTCAGCTACTACAACTTCGCGCTACGGACTACGCGGTACGAACTACATGCTACGGACTACGTGCTACGGACTACGCGCTATGAGCTTCGTATGTACGTTACGTTCTCCGTAATAAGTGTAAAATTAAGGCTTACACGTTTAGGGCTAGAGGCCCAATACGATGGCTTATGATGATACGGAGTCACGGAGAACGTAACAGTTTACCGGGGCTCCGGCTCAAGTGCAAGAGTAGGAACGGGGTGGTTTTTTGTCAGTTAGAGTCTGACAGTCCCTCCCGCCTCATCTAGGCGAGAAGTGATTTGATGATTTTCCCTCCTTTAAAAGAATACGTTTAGGGTTGGGCAATAGCGATGTTGGGTTAAAACTAGGTTCTTTAAGAGAGCTATTAATTCTTTGACAGTTCCAATATTTTAAACCTGAAAACATTTTTTGTGGAATTAAAATTAGAGAAGTTATAACACGCATCGAAATGAACTACACATTTTAATTTCCCTACTATAAAATATCGTAACGTATGCATTGACGACTGGCATTTTGAAGAGACAAGACACCAATAAAACATGAATTAAAGAAACAGTCATAATTTATGTAAAACCGTCGGATGCGGCATGTGGCACTATTTGTTGAAGAATACTTCCTATACGTCAGCACGGGACTCGGTGGATGATACATATATTTTAGTAGCGACTAGGGTTCAAGGATTTGTAATACACTAATAAGACGACGTTTCTATAAAACCAACAAAAAAATATACATATCTAACATAACATAACATCGCGTCTTTTGTCCCCGAAGGGGTAGGCAGAGGCGCACATTACGTCACTTAATGCCACTGTACAATATAATACCCAGATTCCACTATTTATGTTATGAGTCCCATGTAATAGGGGTTAAGGCTATTGCCATATACCCTTGCCCAGCAGTCGAGGTAGTCTACATATCTACCTTTTGTATAATATTTATTTGAATACATATATAAGACTTGGATGGGGTGATTGGGGCGATGTATTGGACTTCCAATAACCTTACTCACATGACATGACGTAACACAACGCTTCAGTGGTTTCACGTCAGTTCTTTGAGAAGTCGTGGTAACACGTCGGCCGAGCCTCCCATTTGTGTCGACACGAAGTGTACAAACTGATAAATTCAAACTATTTAAAGTTCTACCGGTATCTGTACTATTATTTACAAATGTAAATACATGTACTGTTTACATACAAGCTAAAATGGTTTATCTTTCATACAAATCTCGCTTCTATTTAAAACAACGTAGCTTTGTTGTTTCCCATTCTTTTATTTCAAAGTAGATTCAACGCAGATGCTGTAGAATCTGTACATCATACGGGTATCATGTCATAATCTGCTTCATATCAAGTAATGTATGAGAAAATATTTGAAGTTAACAAATTAGAAATCGTTAAGGATTATGTATTAGTGTTCGGTGATTTTCCTGGCTAAACTGGGTGGACTTGGTAGGATGATACTAATATTATGATACATAACATAAAATCACACCTTTTTATCCCTGAAGGGGTAGGCAGAGGTGCACATTTCGGCACTTAATGCCACTGTTCAATGTAACACCCACCGTACACTGTTTATGTTATGAGTCCCATGTAATAGGAGGTGAGCCTATTGCCATATACCGGGCACATTTCCAGACTCCGTGCTACCACTGAGATTTTTAGAAACCCAGTAATACTTTGCCCGACCCGGGAATCGAACCCAAGACCCCTTGAATTGCGACCACTCGGCCAACGAGGCAGTCTAATATTATGATATCTGACGAATAGAAAGATCATATTTCTGTATTAAATTAGATATCCTAACTCCCTAATGGAGACACAAACGAACAGTAACCTATTTAGAATCCTGCTTATTTTTTCTACTACATGCTATTCCTATAAACATATATAATATGTAAGTATCTCTAGAGTAACAAGTACATGTAGAACACTAAAGGCATAGATAATAAATTTGTTAGAACAAATGGTAGCATAAAAAATATCAATTCACTTCCTGAACACACAGCATAATAATAATTCATAATTTAAAAATCATAACATAAAATTAAATGTAGTACAATATTACCTCTACTATCCCCGGAAATCATATAAAATTTTAATAGGTATTGTTGTATGTACGTGCGTCATATTTTATTGTAGTCTGCCTATAACCGTTTGTCACATTTTCTGGCGTAATAATTGAAAGAGATATTATAGTCATTTGTACTGTGTTTATTGTCTGACTGTCTGTGGATCACTTTTAAATCAAAAATTAGCCACACACGATGAAACCGAATTCATTCATAGACACATTAAAAAATAGACTTTTAAATCCAGCTATAGTTATAATTAACAAAATATTCTAATAAATAAAAAATGTGTGTTTTACTAAAAGTCCATCAAGTTTACTCCCAAATCATGAAAGGCTGTGTGACCTACAAACTTCTGGTACATTAGAAATATTACTCGTTCTAAGCTAGCTATATAAAACCTAGTCTGAAAACAGTTGATAGCTATTCCTGATATTCCCAAAAAGACAGAAGAATACCGCCAACGCAGACCATATCAGTGTAATTGAGGCAAAACAATGTCTAGTGAAAATAATTAAGATTATGTCTACGAATATACTGAAATTTAACATCCATATATAATGACTCAAATGTTTGGACAGTCAACCTACAAAGCGAGTAAGTACCTAATCCTCTTATTGTAACGAGCGTACATTTACACGAAAAAAAATATAAACAGCAACATGTGTGGCCATATAAAATAAATGATAGGATTGCCAACTGATTTATTCCGCACTCAAATAAAACCTCGTAAATATCTATTCTCTATTTAAAAAGAAAACAATGGCACGTTACTCTCGATCCTCAATATTATACGTGTGTACAAGAAGTCGTGACGTCACCACAGACCCTGGAGTTGCCAGCAATCTAAATCTGTCGCGACAATGAGAATATTGTTCTACAATTTATTTGAACTTTTACAACTGGCAATGGGCTCGCGTTAATGTGTGTTACGTAGGTACCTAAATTATTACATTATGCTGATTTTCTTTAAGCAGGAAAACAGGTGTTTAAAACATTAATTGTTCAATCATTTATGTTGTTATAAGGTGACCTTATTTTAATTTATGGAAATATCACACTTGAAATATTCAATAAAAAATGAAGAAAGAAAATTCAAATTGAAATCTCTGCTTCAATACATGCTTGACTGAATTATGTATTCAATGGTTTATTTATTTAAGTTCCTACCCGTAATTATGTCAAATTAGCCGTATTTATTACCTACTACTATATAAAACCCATAACAAAATAAAGGGTAATAACGAAAGTGAATAATATTTTTTGAATAAATAACAACTCCTGTATTTTTGTATTATAGCTTTCGTAAGACATACTAAATAAATTAGATATTATGTTTTAGGCTTACTCACGTAATTATTTCTATTAACTCTTGTATTGTAATGTAAATGTACAAAAACTTATTAATAGATAGCTAGTACATTTAAAAATACCGGCTAACGATTGGTTTCATTTTCACGTAAGTGGCTCGCTGTGTTACTTGGCACTGCGCGAGTTTATTGACAGACACTGAACGGGTGTCGGTTTAATGATTCTACATTTATTTCTTTACGCAAAGGTCTAGTTCAAGTGTATGTCGTTTTCTATGGTGGGGGAATCACCATGTATCTTTCGGAGATGGTAATTTTACTTTACAAGTTTACCGGACTTAAATAGATGTCATATGCATTTTGTTTTCAATAGGGATTTTTTTTAAGGGGGGAAAATCATCGAATGACTGCTCCCAACTGGGTGAGGCGGGAGGGAGTGTCAGACTCTTACTGACTAAAAACCACCCCGTTCCTTCTCCTGCACGTCGAGCCGGAGCCCCGGTTACCCGTTAGGTTCTCCGCGACTTCAATAGGGATAACGACACTTGTTACTAAAAAACAGCGTCTTTCCATAATAAAAACTAAGATATCTATTTAGCATTAATGTGTCTGAAATATTCCATAACCAAAAGAAAAATAATTGCTAATTTTAAATAACAATTTTTCATTGACGTGGCGTAAAAGAAGGCGCCCCATAAAGTTGCAATAAATAGTTCATTGTTAACAGGTGCACTGTAGAATGCCGAATATAGGAAACATAAACTCCACCCACTAGTGTTTAGTCTGCCCGATATTTGGGTTACACCCTATACCCACGTCACGTCAACTGATCATCATCAGTAATGGTGTTTTTAAAAAAACCAATCAATTAATTTGACGTTTTGAAAAGTCCGACGTAATTATATTTGGGTTATGTCTACGATTTGTGTCTACAAGATGAAATGAACTGAATCATTCAACCCACTTCGTTCAGACGATGTGTCATCGATCAATTATCGAATATCAGTCTGAAATGTTCGGGATTTTATGATATTGAATATTCTTTACAGCTTTTCGATATCCTCACTAAAGATTTTGATTGCCCATTAATTTAGAATAAGTATTATAGCGCACATAAATAAAACAATCCTGACCAATCAACAAACTACACGAACATAGAAAGCAACACTCACTTAGCCACAATACACACGTATCAATATCAAGGGTTCTAAACTATACCTGATTACAGTCTTTTCTCGGGCAGGGTACCAAATGGTAAATGTGGCTCACCGGAGTCAGCGGTGATGGGATGCTGGATGACCGGAGCATGCTCAGCTTCCGTCGCTGCTCAGCCGACAGCGAGGCTCGTCGACTCCTGGTAAGCCCATAGCCCGACACATCAGGTGAGTCCACACTCGCGCCACGAATTAGTGACGGACGAAACATTGTAATTTGTTAAGCGATTTATTAAAAAACTTTTAGTTGACTGGTGATGCTGATTTGGTGATTAGCTGTGTGAATAAAGTAAAGTTTGAAATTTCAGTTCATTTTGTGTGATTAACTGTTGAAATTGTCATGGTTTTGTGTAATGTTGTTACGATTTTACTCGATGATTATAATGACTATGTTATAGGATCAGACATCAGAATAGTGATTTTAATGATATAATTAGATTGTAAACGAGGATTAAGGGTTCACTACTCACATGTTTTCATACAATCTCATTCAGTTTACTAACAACTGTTGGTACCTACTTGTCAAGAGGTGCGTCTCTACGTACGAAGCGAGTCCCTTTTTATAGATTTTGTAGCTTATTGATTATCAATGGTGAGATAAAAAATACATTAATTTATGGTTGATTTATGAATGTATTGTATTCTACAAATAATGGTTTAAATGATTAATACTAAAAGATGATTTGATTTGCGTACTACTACTAAATTTTGATGCATTTTATAGAAATGTTTGCATGTAAAATGCTAAGCGGTTTGGTTGCGTTGCTATGATCATACTACCTGCACGAAACAAATTAGGTAAGTGCCTATTTACTGTATAATTTTATTTTACTCCTCAAATCTAATGATTACAATTTGATGTATGACAACAGATTGAATTATTCTAAGAGTATCTTCTACATTATGTTGTCATTTATTTTTCGATTCAATCTTCTGAAATAGAAAAGGTATAAGACAGGGTTTAAATATCTTAATTGAAATGGTAATCAATTCGATACTGAGCAGAAGGTTGAGGATCTCAATACAAAATTGGATACTTACGTTAGGGAAAATTGTTTTTATCTTTTCCAAAAATATTGTACATATAGCACCCACTTAAGTACAAATTAATAACATAACATAACATCACGTCTTTTATTCCCGAAGGGATAGGCAGAGGTACACCTCTCTAATGTACACATTACGGCACTTAATGCTACTGTACAATGTAACACCTACTTTTCACTATTTATGTTATGAGTCCCATGTAATAAGGGGTGAGCCTATTGCCATATACCGGGAACAATTCCAGACTCCGTGCTACTACTGAGATTTTTTTAAAAAACCCAGTAATACTTTGTCCGACCCGGGAATCGAACTCGACACCCCTTGCCCGGCAGTGGTAATTGCAACCATTCGGCCAACGAGGCAGTGCAAATTATTCTACTAAATAATTAGGACTGAAAACTAATAATTGTCAATCATGTTGACGTCAAGTGAAAGTAGAACAAGAAGTAGGACAAATTCACAACAAATCTACTCCATCCATAAATATAAGTGTAATATAATGTATGTGTAATGCCCCAACCCGTATATCTCCAAGCGGTCACCGGTGACCGCTCTCCACTAACTACATTATAGACCTTATTTCCAACGTTTAGAGACTACTTTTGTATGAACAAATTTAGGGGATGATTTTCAACAATTTTCAATAGGTTAAGACAATGAAATTACGTTAATTATGTTGTTAATACCCTTTTAATTCCTTTTTACATAGAATGAGATGGATCATTTCTACATTACTAGATATGGGTTCATTGACTCATAAGTTATCATCATATCATCATCATCATCATCAGTGGCCCAACTTCTCTTACGCCATCTGACATGTCATAAAACTATAAGCTACCTACCTACAAGTTAATTAAATAAAAATCTGAACCACTATAAAGATTTAATGATTGATGTACTTAAGTGGCGTAAAAACATGATAGTTATCTTTCATACAATTATATTGATCTAAAGTTGTAGTAAAAAGCTCGTGAAACCTATTTCTCCTTAGAACCCTTGTCCAAACTACTTAAGGTCACCAATATTCACTTATATTTACTAGTCAGTTCTTTTTTTTATGGAATAGGAGGCAAACGAGCAGACAGATCACCTGATGGTAAGCGATCAGGACCGCTCAAAGACACCCGCATCACCAGAGGAGTCACAGGTGCGTTGCCGGCCTTTTAAAAAAGGAGTAAACTCTTTTCCCTTTTTTTGCTCTTTTCTTGATGTTCACTTGGAGTCCATCAATTATCCTCTTAGACATCATTTACGACAAACTTAATTACTTTTCCTGCATTTATACAAAGTGGGTACTTCTTTCGTACATGTATATACTTAGATTGTACAATTGATTACCAATTCATTTATCAATGGAACCTATAGATACCTAGAAACCCATGTATTACGTATACACCTATGCATATTAAGTCATATAATTAATTTACATCTCTGTTCAGTTTTGCGTTCTCATAAATATTATCTTTATGTATCCTACACCTGTTACTTTATTTCAATCCACATATACCTAATGACCCAAAAGAGTTAACTGATTCATATCCAGAGCAGGTCAATGAATTGTGGAGGCAGGGACATAACAATTAAATCATAACTAACTCGTCGAGTACCGGTTTTGTAGACACAATTATAGAACAATAGGTTGCGGTCACCGGTGACCGCTTGGTATTTGACAGTTTAATGGATGAATACAAACTGGAAGTTATTTGTATGAGGAGCTTTTTAATTTGTTTTGAACATGTGTTAATTAATGGAGGTTATAAACTTGTGTATAATAATGTTGTGTATCTTATATGTATGTGTATTAAGTGCCAATTACAAATGACATAATTAAGTAACAAAAATAAAATTGCCAATTAAACGGACGGTCATCAAAGACCGTCGCATTTCCCCACAAATCACCTTTTCCTTTCCATTTTTTCCGTTTTTTCCATTTTGTTACTATAAATAATGAGTGCCGCAATCACTTGGTATTATAACTATAGGAACATTATTGTCACTGGCTCTACACTGGTTTATTTAAAGATTGGAGAAAGTAGGAGTGCGAAATGTGTTGTCGGCGTTTTGAACGCGCGTTCGGACGGTTGGCGGTCGGGCCGCGCGGCAGCCGCCCGGTGGGAATCAAGATATGAACTGAACCGAAGTGTTTCAGCGTGAGACAGAACTGCGTGTGTTGATCGGTCGCCAAAACGTTGCACAATTATCTATCTGACATTTAAAATTGGATCAGACGGTGCGTAGACTGTTGCGGGAGACGGGACGGCGCGAGAGTCCCGACATTTGTATTAATAAGTATTTTGCTGACTTATTTTAAGTAAGCAAGTTATAACTAAAATAATATTGCTACACAGAACATTTTTGTTTAGGAAAACGTAGAATTTTTTTTCTAATTCTTAGACTTATTAAGAAACCCGTATGTGTTCTCTTTTTTATCTACTTTTGGCGATTTCGTAGGCACTTCAGAAGTAAGTATAAATAAAGAGTTTATCTGGCATATTTACCTACAATTTGTACACTATACTAGATAATTTACAATAAGTACAGAATACTACATATATCAAAGTAACATATAAAGTATCATCACACAACAGTCAGTATGATTCAATGTTTATCTGAAGCGCAGTATCTCCTAGTTAATTGCAGTCATTACGAACTATTACAGCCAAGTAGCCAGTAGGTGAAGACTGGACTCAGATAAACTAAATAATACCACTCACTACTGTGTAAACTTTAAACATGAAACTAAATAAAATTATTTAATTATGTCTTTTAATTGTTATTGGTTCTTACATTCATTTGTAGACACTAAATATTTATGGAAGTACGTTGTACAAATAGGTACTACTACTAAAACTATGATTTACTTATTATCTCTTTGGTGTACCTACTTATGGCAATTTATATAGACTATTAAAACCGTTTTAAACTGCTAAAAGTCAAGTACAAAAATTGACTATAGATACTTATACCACAGACAAGATATTGATAGATTCAAGAATATTGACATATCAATAGATTTAAGCTTTTAAGCTCTACTAGTTTCGAGCCACGGAGGGGCTCTTCCTCATGTACAGCGTATGTGGTTTAGTATTTTCTGTGTATTAGCAGTCTCACGATAGTTATTATAAAAACTACTATGTAATTACATTTTCATAACTAAGTTATCATATCTTGAAAAAAAATGTAAATGTTAATTTTGTGCAAATCAAAACTCAATCCATACGAAGACAGGTAGATCGCTAGTTTATAAACAAAAAAAAATATTGGCTCGATAACAAGAGTTCGACTCCCGAGCTATCACAGTTTGTTGACATCGCTACACTTTTGTATTCGTGTTATTACGTATATTTTTGTCACTCTAAATAGGCAGCCGTTTGATATAATATGACACTCACACGAATGTATCTATTGATGTTGAATACGTAACTTCAAAGAACTAAAGGAATGTAAAGGGTATAAATGATTTTTTTTTTATGTTTCCGATGAGTTAATTTTCTTTGTGTTGTGGTAGCCCGGAGGTTGAAGCCGCCTGCTTCTCATGCATTAGGTTGCGGGTTCGAAACCTATCAACGGCAAGTACTGATGTGACTTTTTCCGAGTTATATGTACTTTCTAATATTATTTAGATACCACTGACAAACGGTGAAGGAAAACATCATGAGGAAACCTGGACTTATAATTTCTAATTATAAGTTTGAAATCGCCAACCCGCATTAAGCAAGCGTGGTGATTAACGCTCTAACCTTCTCCGTGTGAGAAGAGGCTTTGCTCAGCAGTGGGCATTTATAGGCTGTTGATGATGATGATGAATTTTCTTTGACAACTACCTCGGTCACTAAACAAGACTATTCTGTGATAAGGGTGACTATTAAAATGTATAGGTTTCGAATTTTAAGCCCCGACTTGTCTCTGGGACTATAATTTACAATCTCTGTGTCTGGGACTACATAATTGGGTATTTTCCTGGGTCAAAAATATTTTTTTTTGATTTTTCAATCCATTTAAATATAAATATTAAAAAATAATTACAACTTCATTCTTAACATTGACGATATACTTAATTTGCAATTTTTTTCGTACTATTTGACTCGAAAATATGATGACGTCATAAGTAAGTTTTTGATACCAAAATTCATAGAACAATATTCTTTTTGACGTTTCGATAAAAGTATTGAATTTGATTAGTTGTATAATACCGTATTAGGTACAAAGCTCCACCGTGTCTGAATTGGGCCTAACGTTGTACAATACAGTCAAATATATATTTGTTACAATTATGATTACGATAGATATTTATTTTTTTTACCCTTAAAATAAAAAAAGTACATGCCTAATTAAATCATACCTCTACATTATCCAAAATACAAGATGGATGTCCCTAACAGTACACCCACTCGAGTCCCAGGCAGATCTTTTGTAGTGTTTTTTTAATACTTGAGATGATCTCACAATCGTCCCACGTTTTCAACCCACGATATACTTGTTTTTCATTTAAAGGGCGATTAATAAAGTATCTGGTAAGGTGTAAGGTTAAAACCTGTAATTTTAGAAACCTAAATGCCAGGGCATTGTTACCTTGTTTACAGAAAATGCCTAAAAAAGGTAAGAAATAAGAAGGTCAAGGAAGAATAAATTTAGATCCATATCAAATACTTTATTCTAATGATAATATATCGACTGTGAAATTAATTACTGACTGCACGGTTGGTGCGGTGGCTGGGCAGCCGTGCATCGTGTCGCGGGTTCGATTCCCGCACGGAGCAACTCTGTGTGATCCACAAATTGTTGTTTCGGGTCTAAATGTTATGTGTATGTGAACTTGTATGTTTGTAAACGCACCCACGACACAGGAGACAATCCTAGTGTGGGGCAACGTTTTTATTAAAAAAGAAAGAAAGAAAGGTACAAACGTAATTTATTTGGTTGTAATATAAATAACTAGCGACCCGCCCCGGCTTCGCACGGGTGCAATATGCATGTATTATACACATAAATCTTCCTTAAGAATCACTCTATCTATTAAAAAAGTCCGCATCAAAATCCGTTGCGTAGTTTAAAGGTCTAAGCATACATAGGGCGGATAGCGACTTTGTTTTATACTATATAGTGAAGAAGCAAGTAAGTAGAGTGACCACTAATTAATTACACGCAGCCATTTTGCATTACATTCGTCACTAGTAACCTACGTTATTATATATTGGAATTGCACATAACGTAATATTTTCATCTCCGGGGTAGGCAGAGGTATAGACCTCTGTAAAATTTTAAATAGTAGTATTTAAAATCCCTTTTAGTCAGTTAGGTCATGAATTCCATGTAATATCATCATATTATGCTTAAGAATCAGCATAGTCCAGTCACATACGTATACATACATCTTTAACTCGTCGAGTACCGGTTTTGTAGACACAATTATAGAACAATAGGTTGCGGTCACCGGTGACCGCTTGGTGTTTGACAGTTTAACCCACTAAACACGAAACAGAAAACTTAATTCTAAACCAGTGATAGAAAACAAAAGCTATAAATATAAAGAATCAGGTAAATCCAGGCATGAAACGTAAACAAAGTGTTTTGTAGTTCAGTAAAATTCGTAGTAAATTGATGATACTATACTGTTTCGGTAAATCGTTATGAGATCATAGTTTAGGTATATCGAGAAAGACAGAAAAATTGATCTTAAGACAAGGATTTATGCAACATCAGCCACAATCAGAGCTTTTAAAACAGAAACCTTCGAAGACATTCACTTTTTTTAGGATGAATCATATAATATTCATAGAGTCAAAGTCAAAGCATTTATTTCAATTAAACCATAATTTGGCACTCTTGAAACGTCAACAAATACAAAATAAATAATAGTCTGTCAGTCAGTCCGTCAGTGAAGCTAGGTGTGCATAAAGGATTTTCTGTACCTAGGACAGTCTGAATTGCGGTATAGCTAACTTATTTTTGCCTCTAGTATTAATATTGTGTTTATCGCTTCTATTTTCCAACAATATTTAATATAAATTAATTTAAAATATTTAACTAAAATTTTTATATAATATATTGACAGGGCACCGTTAAAATATTAATTTTATCAATACATAGTATACAAGCAATTATTATTAAAAAAACAAAATACCCGACTGCACACTTTTTTTAAAGGGAAATTTAGAAAAAATATTATTATGTCTTTATCCCGTGGGACTTTTAGGATAAAATGTATCCTATGACACTCCCGTAATCAAGACAAATCTAACGATACCTCATACATCAAAATCCATCAAGCCGTTTAGGCTACAGGTGGTCACAAAGGAAAAGACATACATACATACTTACATACACTCGAAAAACATTACCCTCCTTCTTTGGCAGTCGGGTAAAAACAAAGTCGCTTTCGCTGTATGTCCGTATGTATGCTTAGATCTTTAAAACTACGCAACGGATTTTGATGCGGTTTTTTTTTATAGATAGAGTGATTCTTAAGGAAGGTTAACACTGATAAACACTGATAAATTTAAAGGTTTCTAATTTGATGTCGTAAATAAGCACGTTTTTTTGCGCTTATATTGCAAACGCTGGCTGAACCCTACGAGATAGACCAAAATAATATACTACAGTATTGTTCACCTTAAAAAGTTCAACAAAAAAGTCCGCGATGGTATATGTCTATCTCTTAGGGATAACCCAGCATAACCATTTTTATTCTTTACTAAAAAATGGTTATTTACGAAGTGATTTTAAACAATACAGCATTAATCCTTATCCAATTAAGTACCTTAAATAAATTGTGCATTTATTATAGATCAATATGCTTTTTAAAGCATGTAATTTAAGTGAATATTACCGAAGATATTACAAATTTAAAATGCAGGGTCGTAGTTGTTTGCGCCGGGCGGCGCGTGCCTATAAATAGCGCTTCGATGGCCGCGCTTCGCCTTATAGTACTTTATGATTTGCAGCGATCGCACGCGTTTATCGGAGCTCTCTAGCGAGGAGAATATCAAGAATTAATTAAACTGAATAGAATAAGTATCTTTTGTTGTTGATTATCTTTTAATTTTTATTATTATTATTATATTAATAGTATTGAAAGTACATTAGGTTAGATAGGATTACCTTAAAACCATATTTCTTGGAAGCCCCGAATTCCTCTGATACCA